CAGCTCTACGGGTACAAGCTTTACCTCGACCATGTCCTCGTCCACGCACTGATTCGTACGCATTGAGGCGATTTTGGGTTTTTTCGCAAAAAAACTCCGCTGATTGACTTCGAACTTGTGACCGTCGTGGGGATTGAAAGAGGGGGTTTTTTTGCAAAATGACACCGAAAGCATCTCTCTTAAACCAGCAAGATCTTCAATTTCGTGACCCAAAATCTTTCACTCTCTCCCCCAAAAAATCCCCAATCCCTCCTCCATCTCCAATCGGAGCTCCCCCTCCATCTCCAATCCGCCATCTCCAACGCCGACGATCTCCCAAATCACCCATCTCCAAACGGAGCTCCCCAGATCCGCCTCACGACTATGAAATTTGAGACCGCCTCCTCTGCCACGACTATGAAGTCTGAGACCGCCGACTTCCCCAACTCATCCGATGCCGAAGACGACTAAGTCCAACTCCACCGACCGTGACCGACTATCCCCAACTCCCTCGAGCTCGATCTCGAGATCCCCCAACTCAGGTAACCATCAAGCCCTAAATTTGTTTACCTATTTTCGACAAATAGTGGTAGACAATAGCTAAGCTAGTGGTTTTTCAAATGCTAGTGTATTCTTGTTTTTGGTAGAAATCAAATATCGGAGAAATGGAAAACTAATTAAGAATAGGCTTTTCAATTAGGTGACAAGTAGACATGTCACGCCCCGCTTCCCAAAATACACAGGAACCGGAACGTGAACAAGCCCGCGACGTATTAGATTGAGAAGAAATATACTCTACTTTTTTATTCTTCTCAATCCAATACGCTAAGCGTCTGGAAATAAGTACAATACGAAGTCACAGGTCCCCGATCACACATAGCAAGAATATAAAGACAACCCAGAATAAAAATAGACATATCATTAATGGTAAATCATCCCAGACATAAAATATGGGTCAAACGTACCCTTATTACAACAACAGTTCAACTAGGAAATAAGAAATACATAGTCCATAATAAAAGGAAATAAAATAACTAAATCTATCATCAAACTAAAGAAAAGTGCGGTAAAAGAGTTTTAATATCCAACTACTACTACAGAAGAAAATCACTACGCTTCAGTTGATTCTTCTACTCCTTCTGCAAGACACTACTGCTAAGAATCTTCTGGCTCCTGTACTATCCCGAACTGAGGCTGCTCATCTCCTAAATCTGACGTACACCCAGAAAATAGGAGTACGTCAGCGTGTGAAACACACGGCAAGATCCCCCAAGGCAGGAACAAATACAATAACAGTAATGATAATATATGTGTGGTTAATGCGATAACAGAAATAAAAATAGATCATGTGATGATAGTAATAACGATAGAGGCATGCAACCGGAATACTAATAATCAGAAGAATCCAAAAATCAACCAAGTAAGAAGATCATGCAGGTAGCGATCAGAAACCATCCAAGCAACAAGGTTATACAATAGATGGAATTAATACTTAAAAATCTACAACTCAAGACGTAGTACGTCGAGCGAAATAATCCAAACAAGGTAACCCTCATGTATATACCATATGTCTCGAATTATAAATAGTTAAATATTAACCCTGATCTATGTATGGAAAGAAATACAACTGATCTACGTCTCACAAGAATCAAAACTCATCCAAGTAACAATTCATGTAACTAGCCATTCTATAACAAGTCACTGGTCCAACCGTCTAACCCCAATGCGTATCGATTCACTGGCCCAACAGACTAACCCAGTGCGTATCGGTTCACTGGCCTAATAAACTAACCCAGTGCGTATCGGTTCACTGGCACAACAGACTAACCCAGTGCGTATCGGTTCACTGGCACAACAGACTAACCCAGTGCGTATCAGTTAACTGGAGCGACCCTAGAGGATACATAAACAGTCACGTCTAATCACATGTACCAAGATTTACCATCCCGGCTCTTCTTATTTTCTAAGCCAACAACACACAAGCCTCTAAATCTTATTCATGTCACACAGATCACTATAGTCATAAACTCCTAACGATTCTCCATTATAATAAAGAATGATAAATGCAATAAATACTAATTAACATTGTCGTGGATCATGAACAAGAATCGTGAACAACTACTAATAACAGTACAAGATGAAACTACATCTAAATAAATATACATGAAATATCGAAATTTCCAATCATTATGCTCATAAATTTATTAATTCCAAAATAAATTCTTTTAATTTATTTCTCATAAATTATTCAAAAATAACCTTTTAAATATATTATTATTATTATATATTATTCCATATGAACAGTAACTTTTTTCCCCTTTTTAATTATTCTAATTTTCTTTTTCGATAACAACTCTTAAAATTTATCTAGCTTTCAAAATGCAAGCTTGTCATTTTATATTCATCATTTCACAAGTAATCTACCACAATAATACTTAACAACATCATATCAATTATTCAGATCAATATTCTTCAGCAACAACCCACGTAGATAAATACGTCACAATTAAACTACGTAAATGATTCATAATAATGTAAATATTCAACTACGAAATAAGGAGAGCGGGATCTTGCTTACGAGACCAGGGGGTCTGATGACGAGCGGCGGTGCCGAGGTGTGGCTACGGGACTGCCGTTAGTGGAAGGAGTAGTCGACGACGTCAACGGCGAGGCAAGAAGGAGGACGAGGGGGTGGCGGATCCGGTGGCGCTGGCGGCTGCAGGCTGTCGTGGTCTCTGAGGTGCTGGCGGAGGCCGAACGGCGGAGGAGGAGCGCGGGGACGGGCGCGGGTCGAGGGCGGTTCGAGCTCGGGTGCGGGGCGGTTTGGGTGGTCGGGTTCGGTGCTGGGAGGAAGAAGAAGAAGAAAGAAATGGGTTTCTTTGGGTGAACTGATGGAGAGAGAGAGAGGAGGAGGAGAGAGGGTGTACGGGTGTGCTTGAAATAAGAGGAGAGAGAGGATTGGAGAGAGAGAGGATATGCACGTGATTTGGGGGGAGAAATCCAAGGGAGTGAATAGGAAATAGTTAAAAATGTGATTAGGGAATTGATTGATTGGAGTTATGGAAAGAATTCAAATTCAAATGAGAAAAATAAGAGAGGGAAAATTCAAAAATTCCACATAATATTTTGAATTATATTAATAATCAACCAAAAATCTTTTTATTAATATTTATATACTACTGTACTATACTCAAGTTTACATCAATAATAATAAGGTCATTAATAATATTAATCACCAAATGATTTTATATAAAATCACTAAACCGTAAATTAATATTTAGCAAAATTAAAATACAAGACTATATATTTTATTATTTATTTATTTTGTAAACTCAGAAAATTCTAGAAATTAGGAAAAATATTAATAAAATATAATATAATATTTTAAATAATAGAAAATTTTAGTTAAAATACGTATTAAAATTTACGGTTGTTACAAGACAGCTCTATCTTTCAGTTTCCAAATTGAATTTCTAATCGTTTGTAGTCAAATTTTTGGGCCCAAAATGAATAAACTGATAAAGAAGGTATATCACGCCTAAATACAATGGGTTGGTCATCGTGCTGAAAAATAGCACAATTTATATGTAATTGTTTTTGGAATATATTGATGCATATGCTTATCACCTAATCTGAGGATCTTACTTTATAGATGGAACGATTTTAGCATTAAATGTGTTGCTCATGTGAATTTTCTTCCATATGTACCAATCGCTGGATTTTTTAGTAAGATCCTTAAGTGTATTAATCTGAGGTGTGTTCTGAAAGAAATTTGGATTGTTTTTTTCTTCATTATTGTTCTACAGTTGAGAGATTAATGCCTTAATCACCCCCATCAAAATCAAACATGTTCGTATGCAATACTTGCTGCATCTTAATCCATATATGTAATTAACATGGTTAATTGCAGAATGGATAACTTGGGCATTGAAGCTAATGAAGTAAACTTGGACGGATGATTTGATATATACTCCTCAAGTATCAGATAAGTTGAGGCAAAAAAAAAGGCAAGAATTTGACACAATAGATGATGTTGTGACATTCTATAATGCTTATGCTAAAGCAGCTGGGTTTAGTGTAAGGTCTTGGACTACTCAGAAAGAGCCGGAAAGTTGTGAAATAAGAAGAAAGGAGTATGTTTGTTTTAAACAAGGAAAATCTCTAAAAATCACAGATGTTGGAAAGAAAAGACGTCGAGGAAGCTTAGCTGAGGATTGTACTGCCAAAATTGCTGTTTTAAAATCAAACTCCGGAAAATACATTGTTACTGTTTTTAATGAGGAGCACAGCCACCCACTATCAACACCATCAAAGGTTCATCTTTTAAGGTCCCATCGTAACGTTTCAGCCGCAACAAAGTCTCTAACTAAATAGTTATCCATGGTGAATATACCTCAGCATCAACAATTCAGTTTTCTTGGAGTACAATCTGGAGGTATAGAAAATATTGGGTGCACTAAAAGAGATTTGTATAATCATGAAAGGGATATCCGTGCTGATTTGAAGGGGCATGATGGTAAAATGTTTTATGAATATTTAAAATTGGAACAAGGAAAGAATCCCTCATTTACTTTTCAAATTGAGGTCGATGAGAAACAAAAGATTACTCGTTGTTTTTGGTCCGATGCAAGATCAAGGCGGGCTTACAAATTTTTCGGTGATGTTGTAATCTTTGATACTACTTATAACACTAATCGCTATGGCCTTATATTTGAACCAATAATGAGGGTTAACAATCATGGTCAAACAATTGTTTTTGCTTATGGATTTTTGAATCATGAGAGCGTTGATGATTTTGTATGGTTATTTAATCAATTTTTGAAAAGTATGCCTGGTGGTGCCCCGAAGATGATTATTACCGATCAAGACCCAGCTATGACTAGGCATTCCCTCTTATTCTTCCAAATAATTTTCACAGGTATTATAGTTTGTATATATTATTGAAAATGTTTATATACATAGCCTTTCTTTTTAATACTTTATTTAATTCTTTTGATAGGTATTATAGTTGGCATATATTAATGAAGTTTTCTGAGAAAATTAATGCAGTGAAGTATAGTATTTATAAAAGTGAGTTCTCGGCTTGCATTTGGAAATCAGAGACTCCTAAAGAATTTGATTTACAATGGGAAAGTCTGATTAAGAAAAGTGGGTTAGAAGGAAATAAGTGGTTGCAAGACCAATATGAACTTCGGTCAAGATGGATTCCTGCATATGTTAATCACATTTTCTCAGCGGACATGTCAAGTAGTCAACGAGCAGAAAGTGGACATGCATTCTTCAAGAAATTTGTTTCGAAGAATAATTCATTGGTTGATTTTATGATACAGTTTGGCAGGGGATTATTGCGCCAACGACATGAGGAGTTGATGGCCGATCACAAAGATGTAATTGAGAAACCTAAACTTAGAATAAATCATGACTTTTTGGAGCAAATGGTTGATATTTACACGAATGAGATCTATTACAAGTTTGAGGCTGAAGTGTGTGACAGCTTTAACTATAAGTTGCAGTTTGTTAGGGCAACCGACAATCAGAGTGTGTATCAAATTCAAAGAAAGAAGCTCGTAACAAGTAAAGTCCGCGAAGTTGTTTACGACAATGACTTGGATTTGGTTTCTTGTAGTTGTAAAAAGTTCGAAAGCGCTGGAATTCCATGTACGCACATTATATCATATTTGATGAAAATTGATGCTGAAATATTGCCCGATAAATACATCTTAAAGAGGTGGACTAACTCTGCAAAATCGGGGACAGTGTATGATGATAAAGGCATGCAGATAAGCCCTGACAATTCTTATCTTTTAACGCGGAGTCAATTTATCCAATCATCTTTGGAATTAGTTGACAAGTCCCTTGTATGTGAAGAAACGAGGAAGATGTTTACCGATGGAGTGCGTATCCACATGGTTAGTGGCCGCGCGGTTGCAAAGAGCTTCACCGAGAAAAGTAATAAAATGAGTAGTAATTTAATGGATGATGGTACTAGTGTACAGGATTCTTGTACTTTTCAAAATAGTTTCAATGAACCCGATCAAGTGCGAGCAAAAGGGTGCGTCAAAAGGTTGAAGGGAGGAAAAAAGAAAGCAATGGCTAGAGAAAAAAATAAAAAAGATAGACGTTGCCACGGGTGTGGTAAAGTTGGCCAATCACATGATAAGCGAAATTATCCGGCACTCACAAATCCGTAAGTAGTAATTTTTTTATTATTTAAGCCTTTCTTATTCTTCACCTTCTATGATCCCCTTGGTGTATATATATAAATATATATTTTCATTATAATGTAGGTCTTCTACATGCGGTGATACAAATTGGCAAGAGGGTAATGGGTCAGTTTCCGCATTAGATTTCATAAACACTATTCAACCCCCCTTCTAGTGTTTGAGTGCCATTGCAGCGATCTTTCAATTGGTATCAGAGCAGGTTGATCAAGGATAACAATGGCTACATCATCTACATCGCAGTTCAAGGAAGGACATTCTACTCAAAGACCACCACTTTTCGGTGGTTCCAACTACAACTACTGGAAGTGTAGGATGAAGATCTACCTTCAATCGATAGGATTCGATCTCTGATATTTTCATTATAATGTAGGTCTTCTACATGCGGTGATACAAATTGGCAAGAGGGTAATGGGTCATCAATTGAAGATGGGGATGATGTGCTCCTATGAAGAGGGTCTTCTACATGCTTCTATTTTGCCAGATTTAGTGCATATGGGTGTTGTGATATCTATTGGTCATTTTAATGACATGCTCATCATCCAGGTGTTACCTTCTGTTTCAGATTTATTACATGAAATATCCATATTTCCTTCTAACTCTACAAATTAGATTACATCTGATGTATACTTGTTGCACGCTCCTTGCAGGTACTGTATTCAAGAATGAAAATTTGCAGACGTGATGTTTTCAGCAGATAGATGCAGGAATTTGTTGTCTCCTACTTGATGTATAATAGCTGTTGTAACTAAACTACGTTTGATTGTTTGATTCAGATAGCTGTTGTAACTAAACTTATATATGTTATGCAGAAGATGATGGTTGTTTGATCCATGGTATAAAGATCATTTACTTATATACGTTATGCAGAAGATGATGGTTGGTTCGGAGGTGCACAAAGTTCTCTTTATTCACTGGAAATGTCTGAGTTTCTACACTGGTGAAGTCCATTGGAATAACCTTCTCTTTATCCTTGAATTGGCATCGTTGTATAACCTTCTCTTTATAATCTATGGTGTTTAGTTGTATATGATGTGTTGTCCTTGAATTGGCATCGTTGTATAACCTTCTCTTTATAATCTATGGTGTTTAGTTGTATATGATGTGTTGAAGTCTGAGCTACTGGTGTGGCTATGGTGTTTAGTTGTATATGATGTGTTGAAGTCTGAGCTACTGGTGTGGAAATGTCTGAGTTTCTACATTGGTGAAGTCCATTGGAATCAACATGTTTAAGTGGATGAAATGAAGTCTTGCATACATCTCTGCATTGACTCCTACAGAGCACTCTTCGTCTACCTCTCATGCTGCTTTTCTATGACCTTAACTTGACCTCTTTTAACATATATGATTATATGTCCCTTGAGTACATATGTAGCATCTTTTCCATATCCTTCAAAACTTATCCTGCACAGACCATGATCGTGAGCTTGGTAATATATAATTCCATAACCTGCTGCTCCTACCTTCCTCAATGTATAAACATTGCTACAGTTTCCTCCCAATTAGTCAACTAAATTGCTATTTTACATCAACAACTAATTCTTCGCCACCTCAATCAATGAGCTCTTCCCTCGAATCCTACTTTATTATGTTTTACATCAACAACTAATTCTTCGCCACCTCAATCAATGAGCTCTTCCCTCGAATCCTACTTTATTATGTCTGCTTCGCTCAGGCTTCTGAATCCAACGAACATTGATAACTGATGCTTTATTATCTACAAGAACCGGGATCTTTTACATGTTGTTTGAGTAAACATAAGATAGCTTCACATCTCTTGAACAAAGAATGTTAATCTTGACTCAATAGAGAGAGGTACTACGCTCAGAATGACTCAATGAGACCATAACTCTGCCATCATAAAACAAAAAAGAAAGAAGGGAACATTACTAAAGATAAACACTTAAATTAGTATGTAAAATAAATCAAGCATTTAATATGTCTACTCATTCCGAAAGAAAGCAATAATAACCTAAGCTTTTTGAAAATTGATCACATGAAAGTTCCCTCGGTTCAAAGAAAGTAATGAACCTAATACAAATTACATCACATGTTTTTTGCAATGGAGAAACCAACAAATACCGCAACGATACATATTAGAAATACTAATATTGTAAACAATGAACCTAATACAAAAGCATAGATAGAGAAAATAGAAGTTTCCCCTAGAAATACTAATATTGTAAACAATGAACCTAATACAAAAGCATAGATAGAGAAAATAGAAGTTTCCCCAAGTTTTTCCTTGTCCAACAATGAACCTAATACAAAAGCATAGATAGAGAAAATAGAAGTTTCCCCAAGTTTTTCCTTGTCCACATCTAGATTATGGCTCACTGGATATCTTTGTTTTTGAGCATAAACAGATGTTTGGACAGGCCTCGAGCTGGATGCTGAATCACAAACGAGTGTGTGCTTCTCACATTCAATCAAAGCCTCTTTGTATGTTGCATACCCTTTGTAGGAGGTATTTGGGAACTTATCTACCTGAGATTTGCATTCCTCCCAATTATTAAAAATACCACATCGTCGACCTCTCTTCACAACATAAAAACTTTTTCTAATCATTGATAACCTGAAAATTTTTACAAATGATCAGTTGAAGTGCTTTCAGGTACATTTTTTACTTTGGTTTCTATATGCAATATTTATTATATTTGTTGAAGGCAATGTGTATGAAGTGCAGGGGGGTATAGATTATACTTTGGTTTCTATACAGCATGGTGATTCCTTTGTACCAAGTGGTCTTAGCCTATGAAAATTTACATCTGCTTGGATAAAATTCATGGGCAAACAGCGTCCAAATAATGATTCAAGAGACTAGTAAAAATCCTAAACTATTATCAATTTCTAGCTTTTCCAAACTATTTGCTGAGCTATTACTTTTTTTATAAAGAGCAATTTCTAGCTAAACTCTAAAAATTATAGACTAAATAATCCAGTGATTGGTACATATGGAAGAAAATTCACATGAGCAACACATTTAATGCTAAAATCGTTCCATCTATAAAGTAAGATCCTCAGATTAGGTGATAAGCATATGCATCAATATATTCCAAAAACAATTACATATAAATTGTGCTATTTTTCAGCACGATGACCAACCCATTGTATTTGGGCATGATATACCTTCTTTATCAGTTTATTCATCTTGGGCCCAAAATTTTGACTACAAACGATTAGAAATTCAATTTGGAAACTGAAAGATAGAGCTGTCTAATTGTCACCTAATTGAAAAGCCTATTCTTAATTAGTTTTTCGTTTCTCCGATATTTGATTTCTACCAAAAACAAGAATACACTGGCATTTGAAAAACCACTAGCTTAGCTATTGTCTACCACTATTTGTTAAAAATAGGTAAACAAATTTAGGGCTTGATGGTTACCTGAGTTGGGGGATCTCGAGATCGAGCTCGAGGGAGTTGGGGATAGTCGGTCACGGTCGACGGAGTTAGACTTAATCGTCGTCGGCATCGGATGAGTTGGGGAAGTCGGCGGTCTCAGACTTCGTAGTCGTGGCGGAGGAGGCGGTCTCAAATTTCGTAGTCATGGGGTTCGTGGTGGTGAGGCGGATCTGGGGAGCTCCGGTTAGAGATGGGTGATTTGGGAGATCGTCGGCGATGGAGATGGCGGATTGGAAATGGAGGGGGAGCTCCGATTGGAGATGGAGGAGGGATTGGGGATTTTTCGGGAGAGAGAGAGAAAGATTTTGGATCATGAAATTGAAGATCTTGCTGGTTTAAGAGAGATGCTTTCGGTGTCATTTTGCAAAAAAGCCCCCTCTTTTAATCCCCACTACGGTCACGAGTTCAAAGTCAATCAGCGGAGTTTTTTTGCGAAAAAACCCAAAATCGCCTCAATGCGTACGAATCAGTTATATATATATATATATCATAATAAGTATTCACGCAAATACTTTTCAATCAAAGTAAGATAGTCATAAATTTTTTTTGTAATTTTCGAACATACGTCTATAACGTCATCACTCTTTCTAGGAATTCCTAGGGGACTCTATACATGAATCCTAAGAAACTCTATTCTAGCTCCACTTCTCGACACAGGATGATTATAAAGATACTGGAACTAGAGCTCTGATACCAACTGTGACGTCCTTATTTTCATACATGGCTGTAGTCCAAGATGAACCCAGAGATGTCAAATCTGTCATGCATCCACACTATGCAACAACAAGTTTTACCAATCACAGCAATATCCTCTAGTGGAACCAAATAAAGTGCAGGTACAAAACATGCAAAAGAAAGGAAATAACTACAATAGACATGATAAAGAAAGAAAGATATCTCATAAATTAAATAATGTCTTAATGAACAACCCGAAATATATCTGATATCCAAAATGAATAAATACACCTCGACAAGAAACAACTGAAAATCGTATTAAGGCACACTGCCTTTACACTATGAAATAAACTCTAAGGTCTGAACAAAAATATAAAACTACGGTCGAGCCTCTAACAAATCTCATGTGACGGCGACTATGTAAGAACTTTGTCATCCTGCGACTCTCCGGTACTCTGAATTACCTGAAAGAATATTAGAAGAAAAAGAACAACAACAAGAGCGTCAGAGCACTATAGCAATATCTCCTCCATCTGCCCCTAAGGGAAGGACTGCTAGATGAAGTGGATGCTCAATCTATTAAGCATAGTCTACCTAGATCATTTTCCCCCGTATCTAATGGAATTAATATTTAGACTCCTACAATACGAGAGGTAGTACGTCAAGCGAACTAATCCAAATAAGGAAACCCTCATGTATAAACCATATGCCTGAATTGTAAACATCTAAACATTAATATTGAACTAAAGATAAACAATCTAAATGAAATCAACAATTAAAAATCCACAACACGAGGTTGGTACGTCAAGCGAAATAATCCAACAAGAAAACTCTCATGTATATACCATATGTCTCAAATTGTGAATCACTAATTATTGATCCTAAGTAAGAAAATAAAGAAAAGTAGTAAAAAAAGTAAAGACATCAATATATCGTATTCATAATATCTTCCACTGTCACTGGGAAGATAGAATGAATACCGGCACAAATCATGTGTACTTTCAAATGCAAAGTACTCTGGGTCATATATTTCAGCAGTGAGTCAAAAACATAACCGGCATCCGCCAACAACTCGGGCTATCATTTAACTATCTCAATGCAATCCGTGTAAGATTTTGATTCATCGCATCATCATGCGGAACGGACTACCCGGTCGGTATCCTAACAGTGTACACAACACATTAGTCTCATCGCATCTCTGTACGTAACACGAGTGTGGGATGGACTACCAAGTAGGCATCGTAGGAATACGGTTCACAAGCCTCATCGCACCCTAGTGCAGGACGAACTGCTAGATAAAGCATCCTAAACCCGACTCATTGGCCTGTACAAATGGAATATCGACGCACTACCACCGTAGTACTAAACTGAGCTCATCAACAATATCCAGAAGGTGTGTGTATAATATGTATTAAAACTCTTTCTCAAAGTAATCGGGTCAAACCCCATCATAATTCCTTTTAGCATACCCATGTATGTGCTACTACACTATTCGTGAATTTACATATAAAGAAGTGCGGCTCGAAACCTGCAAACATATCTCAAACAGATGCAAAACAAAAATTTTGGCAACAGCCATAGTAGTCGACTATACTGAGTCCATCCAGACTCTGTATTAACATATATCAGTATCTGTAGTCGATTATTAAGAACATTAGTCGACTACTCTAAAAACACACAGTTTCTGTTATACTCAACTAGGTACGAGTAGCCGACTACTCAGCTTAGTAGTCGACTACTCTGTCAAGACACGCATTCTTTCGTGCACAAACAGTGCTTATGTCAATTGTACATATCATGATGTTAAAACGAGATTTTATACTTGGCATATGTAACAGGAATTATTTGAATCATCAAATTAAATTATTATATCTTCCAAATAAAGATTTAATATCCTAATTAAACAATTTATTCAATTATCTCATATGTAAACAAAGTGATTATCAACACATGATAAAAACTACTCATGAACAGAGGTAAAATTTATTTAAACATGTTTATCTTACTTAGGTATCGCGAACCTAGTATTTAAGCATGATTAATTAACATGAAAACTCAAAGAAATCTTAACGTTTTATATTAATTATTTCAAATCAACATATCTGCAGTTTTCTGCAAAATATATTATTAGTAAATTGAGCATATCTTTCTCTAGATAAACTCTTTTTAAGAATATCTTTCTATTTTAGAAACTAGATCCACATAACTATCATTTAGCACTAGTTTGGTTCAGTTTAGAGTTTATATGATATCTCAAATTTCTAGTTAAAGGTTACACACGTGCAGTAGTTTTTTGCAGAACATGTTATTAGTAAATTGAGTATATCTTCCTTTATAAAAACTCTTTCTTTGAATGGTTTTCCATTTTAGAAAATAGGTTCACATAGCTTTTATTTGACACTAGTTGTATTTAGTTTGGAGTTTATATGATATATCAAATTTCCAGTTAAATGTTATACATGTGCAGTAGTTTTCTACAATCTATGATGAAAAGAAAAACTAAACCTCTTTATAATTCAATTAGACAACAAATTAGGATTAACACACGAGTTAAACATAATTATCAAGTTTAAAAAATGAAAATTTAATCACCCCTAATGATCATGATCACATTACTATCATAAACAATTAGGAAAAGCTAATAATCTAGCATTGAGTTAAGATTTATCATCAAAAACCTCATCTTTATCAGATTAGGTTAAGCCTTAAGCATGAAAACATTGATTAAACACTTTTATAATCATTAAACACTATAGAGATAGGTTTGGATTCAGATAATCTTGCATTATCACGTGTGCAAGCCTTTGAAACTGATGTGAAACGACTCCTTGTCACCAAACGTCACAGATCTCGCCTTTTCCTTCCTTCTCGCCTCACAAGACGCTCCCAAAATCTTAACTTTAGGGCTAGGATTTGAGAGAGAGGAAGAGGGGCTGCTAGAGTTTGAAACTCTGATAAAAAGATAATAATTTTTATGAAAACACATGTATATATATATATATATATATATATATATATATATATATATATATATATATATATATATATATATATATATATATATATATATATATATATATATATATATATATATATATAGAACCAGGAACCTAGTCTGACTAGGAAAATAACATTCGGTATTTTGGTTGTAATTTTCTCATCCGACCTTGGAATGAGATGATTTAAGATTTATTGGAAAGCTGTTAAAGAGACCTACAACTTTGGTCTTTTAATTTTTTTCATATTAAAATTTCATCAGTGTGTAAAGTATATAAACTCTTAACTGGTCTTTTAATGTTTTGTGCATTTGCACTCATATATTCACAAATATACATTGAATTGATCTCAAATCAATTCCTATCATACTCAAATATCAAAATATGTTATATTTTCACCATATAACATATTTATTATTATTTTTTACATAATATTCAAAATTTCAGGGTTTTACATCCATTCCCGTTAAAATGATCAAGTCTACGTATTCAACGTCGTAGGAACCAAAATCCATTCTTCACATGTATGGGGATTTTATCTCGATCCCTAATTAGAGATAAGCCTACGTCTAACATGCGTTACCGGTTAGTCTTTTACCGTGAAAAGGACAAAGCCCACGTATTCGACATCGTAGCAGGTTGTTATTAATAATGTCAGAATCCATGCTTCACACGTATGGGGGATTTTATCTTGATTCCTAATTAGAGATAAGTCTACGTCTAACACGCGTTGCCGGTTAGTCTTTTACTACGAAAAGGACAAAGCCCACGTATTCGACATCGTGGCAGGTTGTTATTAATAACGCCAGAATCCACGCTTCACACGCATGGGGAACTTTATCTCAATCCCTAATCAAAGATAAGCCTACTCCTAATACGCGTTGCCGGATGGTCCGTTCCCGTGAAAACGATGAAGTCTATGTATTCAGAATCATAGCACTATATCTAAAAGAATTTATTCTTTTGGCACAACGTTACATGTGAAACGGGTTCCAACAATTCACATGCTAGCTAGATTCAAATGGTAATCGGTAAAGGCACGCTAAATCTGTTGATGGCTGAGGGTTTGTTAAAAATCCTATGAGCACATCATAAAGGACGATTAAGTCTATGTATTCAAAATCATAGCACTAATTCTAAAGGAATTTATTCTTTTAGCACAACCTTACATATAAAACGGGTTCCAATAATTTACATGCTAGCCCGATTCAAACGGTAATCTGTAAAGACACGCCAAATCAGTTGAGGGCTGAGGATTTGCCAAAAATCCTATAAATATTATGATTATTTATCCTAGATTGGATAAAAAAATCATAATATCTAGGACAAACAATCATAATAATATGAAGAATGCGCTAGGTAAAAGACTTTGTTTCATAAATGAAGTCAAGTTAAAATAAAGATACAAAAGTGGAAGCTATGTGCCCAAATCCAAACTGCAACTGAGAATCCGAAATTCCAACCTAGAGAGCTCATCTGCATAACTCTGTTCGAGTTCGACCTACAGATCAGCCCGGATTGAATCTTCGGAAGTATCTAGTATCTTCACAGCTTCGCTTTTCAACATAGCCAATTTTTCCTCTGCGGGCTCCAACTTCTCAAGTGTTTGTCTTCAAGAGTTTTTGGAATT